ATGAAGCACTTACCTCTAAGCAAATCCGAAAGCGGAGGGCCACAATCCTCAGGGATTACATAATCTCCTTTTCCAATGTTTTCAAATAATTTATAAATATTATCCCCTTCAAAGGGATAAAGGCCTGTTGTAATATTGTACCTGGAGAGGGGGATAGGGAGAGCAGAGAGAGAGAGGGAAGAAGAAATGATTAGAAGCATTTAAGAACCCCTCTCTAACTCAAAGATGCTTTTTCAAAAGGTAACTGGACTTATTGGGGGGGGGGGGGGTTGGTGTGTTGTCTGCATCTCAAATTGAAGCACAAACAGTTCCTATAGTCCAGTAGTGGCGAACCTATGGCACGGGTGCCAGAGGCGGCACTCGGAGCCCTCTCTGTGGGCACACGTGCCGTTGCCCCAGACTCACCTCCCACCACGACCCCCTCCTCACCAGCAGCCCCCCTGGAGGAGAGTCACCCCCGAACGTGGCCCACACAGAGCAGCGCAGCCAAGGACATGGCAGCCAGGCAGCGTACACAAGAGTCTGCCCTCATGCCCCATCCGGCAGTTGATGCTGTGGGGTGCGGGCAGAGGGCGTGGCTGCCATGGCGCTGCTGGGCTGCCTGGGTGATTTGCGGCGGGCCCTGGAGGCGGTGAGTGGCCCTGCGGGCAGGCGGGGTAGGGGATGGGGTGGGGGCGGGGCAGGGGCGGGGCCTGTTTTTGGGCACTCAGTCTCTAAAAGGTTCGCCATCACTGCTATAGTCTGTAATCTTTTTCTGGAAATCCATTCATCCTCCCGTACCATTCGAAGGGTGTTCATCCAAAATGCATAGCTAACTGTCTATAGAGATTCTCAGTCATCCAGATCATGGTTTTCCCAAAGGTGCTTTTTCAAAAGGCAGCTGGACTTTGTTTTTTTTCCTTGACGACGTTTCACTTCTCATCCAAGGAGCTTCTTCAGTTCTGAAAGACTGAAGACAGAACTGAAGAAGCTTCTTGGATGAGAAGCGAAATGTCGTCAAGGAGATACAAGTCCAGTTGCCTTTTGAAAAAGCAACTTTGGGAGAACCATGACCTGGAGGACTGAGGGAGCTGTGCGATTAAGAAATATGATAGATAGATAGATAGATAGATAGATAGATAGATAGATAGATAGATAGATAGATAGATAGATAGATAGATAGATAGATAGATAGATAGATAGATAGATAGATAGATAGATAGGAAGGAAGGAAGGAAGGAAGGAAGGAAGGAAGGAAGGAAGGAAGGAAGGAAGGAAGGAAGGAAGGAAGGAACATATATACATATGTTGTACATAGTATGTTTAGGTGTGTGTCATGTATGTGTTTCACTTTGAGAGTGGGCAACTAAATTTCATCTTTGATGCGTGCTGTTGTGCCCACAGTAAAAAAAATGACAATAAAGGTTATTTTATCAGAAAGAAAGAAAGAAAGAGAGAGAGAGAGACAGAGAGAGAGAGAGAGAGAGAAAGAAAGAAAGAAAGAAAGAAAGAAAGAAAGAAAGAAAGAAAGAAAGAAAGAAAGAAAGAAAGAAAGAAAGAAAGAAAAGAAAAGAAAAGAAAAGAAAAGAAAGAGCTGGAGAGCAACCATCCCAGTCCAGAGAAGGGCTGGGCTCAAGCAGGGAATTAGCCTGGACTCCCTACATAAACATAAGTGGCCAAAGTCTGACCAATCCCTGAGTGCCTTTGTGCCCTATCTAGTCTTTCTCTAGTCTTTCTATAATGCAGATTCCTGTATTACAGGCAGAGAACAACCAAGCTAGTTTGAACTCAAGACGTGTGGGTCTAGTTGTTCATGCCTACAAGTGGCTATCCTACTCTTATTGGAAGACTGAAAATCCTCCTGGATATGCAGANACGCAGGCCTAGGAGAAAGTGAAACTGCACCCCTTGCTATAAAAAGCACAGAGCCTGCTCCTGACACCAAACGGAAGAAATGTAGATGTTGATACCCACAACGCAAGTTCCATTATTTTGTACTTGCACCGTGGTCTCGCAGGCAACTTATCCAAGGGGTGAGATTGCATCACAATGCATGTTTTGTCTCTTGCGCCAGGCCCCCCCCCCGAAGCAGGAGTCTGCCACCATCTACTCTGGCAGGCAGCCCTCTTTGATGACCAAATTCACACCTGCAGGTCAGGGGTCTTCAAACTTGGCCCTTTTATGATATGTGGATTTCAATTCCCAGAATTCCTCAGCCAGGCACGTGTGCCTGGCTGAGGAATTCTGGGAGCTGAAGTCCACAAGTCATAAAAGGGCCAAGTTTGAAGATCCCTGCCTTCGGTGGAACAGAAGGAGATGATTGGATAGCTTTCCCTCTTGACATTCCGGATATCAATAGAAGAGAATATTTATAGCTCAGGGTTGAACCATGGGGGTCCTTGGTGCTCCCTGAGCTTGTTCACTTGTGGACATTTCATGACCCGACTAGGTAACTTCATCAGTGCTAGTGAGTGTGGCTGACTAGATGATGTGACCTAGTCAGGTAATGAAACATCTGCAAGAAAACAAGCAAGCTCAGAGAGCACCAAGGGACCCAAGGCTCCAGTTATGAGAGGCAGGGTCCGTAAGATTATCTCGGACACTACACATCCTCTTCACGACTGTTTTCCTTGTTACCTTCTGGGAGGAGGAGACTTTGTGGTATCCGAAGCAGAACATCCAGATTCAGCCATAGTTTCATTCTATACAGCATTAACCTTGTGAACTCTCAAGCTTCCTCCTTCCGTTATATATTCAAGATGGACAGTACTTAATATTTATTTGTTATGTATATGTAGGGGTGTGGGCCTATACATATGTTGTACATAGTATGTTTAGGTGTGTGTCATGTATGTGTTTCACTTTGAGAGCAGGCAACTAAATTTCATTTTTGATGTGTGCCGTTGTGCCCACAGTAAAAGAATGACAATAAAGGTTATCTTATCTAGCTGAACGACTCTTCTAGATTTATTTCTGTATGGCAAAAGATGAGTGGGAGGCAGGCCGTACATAGTCATGGCCTTAACATATAGAGAAGTATTAGAAAGGAGAAGAAAATTTCATACAAATCTGAAATTAATCTACAAATTAATCGTTCTAGAACAGGGGTCCCCAACCCCCGGTCCGTGGACCAGTATCGGTCCGTGGCATGCCAGCAACCGGTCCACACAAACAAGCAAAGCCCCATCCGTGGGATGCAGGCAGCACACAAAACCACGCACCCTCCGGTCCGCGGAAAAACCTTTCTCCACGGAATCGGTCCCTGGTGCCCAAAAGGTTGGGGACCTCTGTTCTAGAACAGAGAGGATATTAACCAAGGGACTGCCCTTTTTAAATTATTACCCCCAGTTAGCAACTCAAGGAGTCCCATGGCTGACATCTTCACACCTGTCACGATCACTCTGCTGCTGACATTAAGGGCTAGGGTCCTGCTTTGTATTCCGATTTACTTACAGTGTGACACCTGCTGACCAAATATCTACTTTGAAGCCAGAAAAGGTATCCAGGCCGTTGGCAATTTCTGGAGGCTGAAAAGCGGGTGACCCCTGGCTGGTTCGGCACATGTCGTCCTCAGCAAATGGATGCAAGGCCTGTTGCAAGCAGATAACAAAGAGGCATTGCTTTGAGGTTGAAGGCATATGTCTTCAGCAGCAACTGGAAAATTTGGGGCAGCTGTGGGTTTTGGTTGTTTTTTTTTAATGATTATTTCAGCAGAAGCCCTGACGTTGTTCAACTGTGCAATATCAAACTGTTTCATTTAAAAACAAAAATTAAAGGGGAGATTAGCATTTTAAGGGGAGTAAGCCTACCCAAAGAATAAACATGTTTTATTTCTTGCTGGGAATCAGTTGCAACTGCTAATATTCCACAATTGGCTACTGTGCTTCAGTTGTTCAATCTAGGGGAAGGGTGTCTGACATTGGCAAATTTAAGGCCTGTGGACTTCAACTCCCAGAATTCCTCAGCCAGCCATTAAGACCAATCCACAGGTCTTAAAGTTGCTAAGGTTGGACACCCCTGATCTAGGGAGTTCTGAGTGCCCCATGCAGCCCCACTAACTACCCCAATTTATGCAGTGTAGACTGGGAGTAAACCTGAGTTTCTGCCTTATTCGTTAAAAAATGCTTCAGAGAAAATAATTAAGTTGTACATACTTGAAAGCAATCGCCACCCAACATCAAAATGACCTTAGAAAAGCAATTTGCCAAATTTCTTGGGTTCTGGCTTTCAAAACAAATTGCTTGCTGACTGAAGACAGCTGTCAATTGAAAAGCTTCAGAAGTTTAAGACCATATATGTTAGGGGTGTCACACTGCCGGTCCGCGGGCTGGATGCATCATGGCAAAACCATGCCCATCCCCATTGCCGGCAATGGCAAAAAAAGTCACAATACGTCGCGATATGTCGTGACACGTCACGTCACGTAACGTTGTGAGTTTGACACCCGATATATATCATACGTGGTCAACTTTGTTCTGTAATTTTTAGTTTTCAGATATACTGGGGCAATTCCCCAGCTTGCACCTATCTGGCTGGCTGGGGAATTCTGGGAGTTGAAATCCACTCATCTGAAAAGTTGCCAAGGTTGAGAAACTCTGCTGTAAACATTCAGAGAAACAAATGTACGGTATAAATGACTAATCCAAGACCCAACCAAGGGCCAAGCAATCTGATCCAGCCAACAGCCTGACAAAGGCCCTCAGCTGTGGCTTCCAAAGCAATTATTCTAGGCCAGGGGTCTTCAAATTTGGCCCTTTGATGACTTGTGGGCTTCAACTCCCAGAATTCCTCAGCCAGTGCCTGGCTGAGGAATTCTGGGAGTTGAAGTCCACAAGTCTTAAAGTTGCCAACATTGGAGACACCTGTCCTAGACTGTCTAGCCCAGGGGTTTTCAAATTTGGCCTTTTTATGACTTGTGGACTTCAACTCCCAGAATTCCTTAGCCAGGCACGCTGGCTGAGGAATTCTGGGAATTGAAGTCCACAAGTCATAAAAGGGCCAAGTTGGAAGACCCCTGTCCTAGAGGAAGTATTTTTAATTTGGATGACCAGTAAGTAGCCAAAATAGTTTTCTCCACCATAAATTTGCCCAATCCCGTCTTGAAGCCATCCGATTCGATAGCTATAGCAATTCACATAATGACACGGATGTTCAGAAGCATACCTCTGCCACACCTAGATCTGATATCTTTAGTGTCCCATTGGTTGTTAGCAGGAGATTCCCCGGTTTGATATCTTTGTGTACGATGCCCTGGCTGTGCAAATATTCCAAGCCATCTATAAGTTGGCAAAAGTACCTGCGTAAGGGACGAGAGGGAGGCAGGGGGAAAATGAGGTGGAAAAAATTGAGTGTCTGGTGAGCAAGCACAGTGCAATGTCTACGTTACTAAGCGGTTAGGGTTATCAGCTGCGATTCAGAGTCTGATTCTGACGAGGAATCTTACAATGTTTGTGCATTATCAGGAACTCTGAAACAGAACAGTTACTAAGAATTTATAGAATGATGCTTGCATTATGTCATGACTTTGGGCCAATCACCAGGAGACAATGAGTTCTAGTCCCGCCTTAGGCATGAAAGCCAACTGGGTGACTTTGGGCCAATCACCAGGAGGCTGTGAGTTCTAGTTCTGCCTTAGGCATGAAAGCCAACTGGGTGACTTTGGGCCAATCACCAGGAGGCTGTGAGTTCTAGTTCTGCCTTAGGCATGAAAGCCAACTGGGTGACTTTGGGCCAATCACC